CAAAGTTCCACTGAGGAATGAACTCTCTAGCAAATTGAAAGGCAGCAAACAAACATTTGCAAACACAGACAGAAATTGATGTAACCAAGCACTGCCAGACAGCTCCATTCCATTTCCAGTTCTGCTCTTATAACAAGCTGCAGTCATGGACATGCAAGAGGCAGAGTGATCGTTTAGAAAGTCAGATAGGTCCATGAGCAGATGTCAGTCCCAACAAAGCAGGCAGGGCTGTGAGGAGCATCTGAGAACAGCAGTGCTTGCAGGTCAGCTTTTCATGCCAGCCTCTGTTTTGGGCTCTGCTCCTGGAAGCTGGAAGTAGGTTTGCTTGGCACTGTGAACATTAACAGATCTGACACAAAAGCCTCTCATTCTCGCTCACAATCTTCAGAATAGGAAGCACATTACTTGGGCAGCTGAAATGATCTCCATGGCAGCTCACCATTGCATTAGGTTGGTAGGGAGCCTGATTTACTTCTCCCTTCACACCATCTCCTCAATATAAAAACAGGAGATAATTTTGAAGCCATAATACTTCTACCTGCAGCATAAAATCACTGATGCTGTTTTAAATGTGCCAAGGGGATAATGGTTTTTTTTTTTATTTAGTAGAGATGCTGCATAGGTAGATCCAGTAAATTACTACAAGATATTTCAGAATTATATCAATCAGGAATATAAATATATATAGAGTAGGAAGTGGTTGTTAAAAATTAATTTGAAAATAGATTGCTCATTAAATTAAGACCAGATTAATTTTTACTGTTTTCAACATGAGTTAGGTGTTTCCTCTAAGGAGGACTCTTGGAGAAACAAAGGCTCTGTAAGGAATGTGATTATTTAATTAGGTAATTTGATTTATGCAGATTCCAAAAGAACTGTGTAATACCCTCAATTCTGACCACAAAAGGAAAAGCAAGCAATACCCAATCCCTATCATTAATATTTTTTAGGTGAATTTCAGGTTACAGAATATACAGAATATAGAATAATTTGCAAATTGTGCTAGTTTATTTTTTAATATTTATGTGATTTCTTTATTTTCTTTACAAATATTTAAAAATATGATAATTTTTATTAAAATATTTTAAAATATATTTTATAATTTTACACTAAGACATGAAAGCAAAAGATGATCAAAAAATAAGAAAGGAGAAGGAAAGAATAATACTCAGAGGAATTTTGTACTTTTATATAATGACACTTCAAAAGTATTGGTTGTCTATAACAACTTCTTTACCTCAGAAAAATTTAAAATTGAAATTTTGATTAAATGCCAAAAATATTTGCACTATAATAACATCAATTTTTTTCTCAGTGTAATAGATACCACATGTTCCCTAAAACTTAGATTAGATCATTTGAAAATACAGTTATTCAATACAAATTGGAGAATTATCTTACAAAACCCCAAACCTAATACTACCTATGAAACTGTATTGGATTTATGAAAAATAGTGTTCTTTAAAAGGAAAAAATACTTTTTAAGAAAAGAGATAAAGACTTTTCTAGTTGTAAAAGCAGTTTGCTTTCTTAACTTTATAAATTAGAGTTTGAGAAAATATCCCTGCAACTTGGGCTGAACGTATTTGGATCTGCTGATCTCTATTCAATTTTGTGCAGCAGATGTTGTTCCACAAAAAAGGTTGGAGTGTGGATTGGCATTTGTGAAGGAGAAAAACAATGGGCTTGATTTTCAGGAAAGAAAAGCTTAGCTGAATTTGAGCTGTGCAGGCTGAAGCTCAGTGTTCAATTCATGACCTATTTTTAGGAACAATCTATCACTTTCTGTAACAGTGACAGATACACGCACATATATATAATTTTACAGGAAGGAAACAAATACTCTAATTTTTCTTTGCATTGTAGCAGCTTAAGGAACAAAACACAATAATATCTTCCTTTCATCTCTGTGTGGAAGTTGCTGGGTTTTGGCAGGAGAAGGCATCTCCCGGGCTGTAGATAAGGGCTTAGCACAGCACATATCATCACAGCAAAGGCACTGGTGTAATACACATTGTGAATGTGTATTATTTTTGAAACTGCCTGTCTGATGTGTTGAGCAAATACCTGGATGATACTCAGCAGTAGATTGCAGCAGGCAGAATTCGTTCCTCCGCCTGCTGCATGGGAATATTAACTTTTACTGTGTCATAGAGGAGGAAGACTGGATCCATTCATGGATTAACCCATCATGACACTGTTTGAACTGATGTGACTTGGTCTTCTGTACCCTCTCTCCAATTCAATCTTTTCAGCAACTGAATTCTATATATAAAATTATATATTTATATAGAATATATAATTATATATATTTTATTTATATATAATAGATTATTATATATATTTTTATATATTATATATAGTATATGTTTATATATTCTATAAAATATTAAACTGATTTTAAAGCATTAGAAAAGGACAAAGCAACAAACTCAGTAATAAGTATTTGCAGGAATATGCCATTGCTTCATTCACAAAGAGAGAGAAAAAAAAAAAAAAAAAAAAAAAAAAAGAAAAGTAAAGTTCATTTAATGCAGTTATGAGTCATAGTGTTGGTTTCTACCCAAACTGCAATTTGGAGACAACTCAAAATATCTGAGCCACTGCAAAAATTATTTTGAAAATTCATTTGCTTAGTAGATTACCAGCTAATTAAAACCAAACCAGTTTTCATCCAGCCTAATGGGGGTGAGGAAAGGGAGGGAAAAAGTATGCAAAATCAATATGGATCTTCTTTTGTATACTCAGAAAAGAGGCCTAGTTATTTTCTGAAAAGGAGAAAGTGGGTTTAAAAAGGAGTCCCAAAGCTATGGCAGCAATGGCGAATATTAGGACCAGAGTTTTTGTCTCTCTGTCTTTGCAGAGAGGTATATATTCCTAAGAAACACAATTTGTTATTAACATTTCCCCTTTCAAATTAAGGGAAAAAAAAGTCACAATAACAAATGTTAATTTCTGCTCACCATATTTCCCATGCTCTGATAGTATTGTTTTATATCAATGTGTTGAAACAGGATGCCTAAACTGAAAAAATATATGTTTACTTGTCTCAAAGCCCTTAGTGCTGATTTTTTTTTTGTATAAATGTAAGTATGTGAAGATAAATTAGACAAAAATGCTTCTGATCAACTGAATTATGGTACTCTAGCTGGTCCTGTGACATGGTGAAGGTTAAGGAATGCTAAACATATGTTTCATTTATCTGTTCCAGTTCATTTAAACCTAAGCACCTCAGGTCTGAAGGTTATGCAGCTGACAAGGACAAGGTTATGCAGATATGCACCTTTCTCTCCAAGAAACCTGGAGGCTGCCTAAAATAGCAATTGTCTTCGACCTTGCCTCTGTACAATGGCAATAAATGGTTTTTAATTCAAACTTGCTGGGCTCATTGTGTTTTCCAGCTAATAGGCCCTTTCTGTCTGTGCAATTTGAGTGTATATATAAAATTCACCAACAGCTCCAGTCAAGTATTGATCATTTCTTAACCTGACTTACAAGGGAAGATTTTCTATTTCTGAGATATTAACAATGGAAATCGATGTGGCTTTATATGTTTGGGGAAATGTCTCCTCTTGCAGCTAAACACCATTGAATTCATGATGGTTAACATATCATGGGGACCATGATGTTGATATGTAAAAATTAAGGTTCTAAACCAGGGTGACACAGGTAAGGAAGTGCTGGTCATGTCTAAGCCATAGTGACCAAATCCCTAATTTGTTAGGGATTGGATTATTTTAGTCTGTCAGTTTCCTTGCCTGTAAAATGTTACTCATGCTGATGTTTCCTTGATTCAGAACAGAAACATTATGAAGCAAAGCTGATGTTTGGAGAAGTGCCTTGAGATGCCCAGGTGGAATAATGTAGAATTGCAGAATTCTGTAATTCCAAAGTCAAAATTCAGTTTATTGCTACCATCCATCTATGTCATCAAAGTTCTATTGCACCTACAATGCACCCACTCATGTTTTACTAGAAGAGGATTCAGTTTAGTAACTGAAAATACACAAATTTCACAATCTGTATAACAATCTGCACAACCTGTAGAAAATCAGTTATAATCAAATTACTCTTCCTAAGATCCAGCTCAAAGCCATAGTTAGGACTTCTTTGGGAAACACAAAAACCTGCAGCTTTTAAGAGAGCATTGTTGGAAATAAATATATGGTGGCCTGGGGGTTATTTTATGTAAGGAGAAAAATATGGGTATGTAGGAAAAGCAAATATGGATACTGTGGATATACTGCATTTTGTACAGAATTATGTTTCAGATATATCTCTTACTATAAAATTATTGCCAATACTGGTGAAACAAAATGGGATAAACACAACAGAGGGAAATGATCCTTTTTTCTTCAGTGAGCAAGATTGTAAGTGCTGTCATAGATTTTGCCTTGTGACCATAAAAGACAGGCTTTTATAGTCTACTTTTAAAGATCAACATGTTTGGATTGTATTAGTTGAAAGAGAAGAACTATATCCCAAATCAAATAAAACTCCACAAAGTTCTGCTTGCTTTCTTTGCTCTTTTTATTTTTTTATGTGTCAGCTGCAAACCTGTCTTTCATTTGAAAAAGTCAGTGTGAGTCGGATGTATTTCTGTCGGTAATATACACAGCAGTGTTAGAATAATAAAAAAAAAAAAAGGGAGAAAAAAGAAATCCATATGTTACCTTATTACCTTTTATTGCTCATTTTCTTAAATCAGTATAGCTGACTCCCAGTGAACAATTTGTTAATGAACAGAGATTGAAGTTTCTCCATGTTTGGCTCATTAGTGCAGGTGACCCTCACATCATCCATGCTCTCTTAACATAAAGAAAGTGTCATATAAAATGAGCTCCATGCATTTTGGAGAGCTGTGGTTTACAGATGTATGGGTAAAGTATCTTCTCCATTTGCTGCCTTCCCTTCTTGATTTATCAGTCACATGTTGGTGTTCTTATATTCCTCAAAGATATTGAGGAGAAACTGTATGACTCCATAGTAATTCAGTTATTGATAAGTACCAGATTGTATTTTCCATTTATATTAAGTAGGTGTTCCTCTATTGGCTTTTATTCCTTCAGGGTACATTAATTATCACATATTTATCAAGACTGCTTAGCAAATATTTAAATGAACCCTCCTCCAAATTATTTTTATGATACAATGTATGTCTTGCAATTTATACAGCTCTCAAAAAAAAAAAAAAAAGGAAGAAGGAATGTAAATGTGGCTAAACTATCTTACAGGAAGCAATATATAAAACTTCCAACTACCAGAACATTGAAGCACAAATAATGGTGAGTATTTAAGTGAAACAAAGAACAGAGTTTTAGGATTAATCCAGCTATTGCAGATATGCAAAATCTGATAGGGTTTTTCTCCTTCCTGCAGTTTAATCTGTTATTCTCTAAATAGCACCATTCTGTAATCCTCAGTCTTCTGTTGGACCTTGAATACTTTGAGATAAACTTTTCCAAATGAGCTTGATAGGCCTAAACCATATATGTCTAATAATATAATGTCTAATAACTTTGGGTAGACTATTTTAAGGTGATGTTTTTTATGCATGAGGTTTTAACAAATACATGTGGCTTCCGTGAGAAGATACCAGAAAGTAAAGACGTCACTGATCTTTAAAATACAGGAGATACCTGGGAGAGTGATGGCAAACCACAAAACTACAGTGGAGAGCAGCATGACTTGGCTCTGGCAAACACTAGCAGTGATCAAGAGAGTTGCTAAGACTAAGAATTTTACAAGAATCAGGCTGGATCAAGAAAAAAATAGGCTGGAAACTCTCAAGTTTCATTTTAATTTTCATATCTTGAGGATACAGACTGGGAACAGAAGTAACAGGGCCTTGCTGGTCTTGCTGCAAGTTGTGGAGTCTGATCCTGCTGGATCATCGGGAGAATAGGTGGGGCACTTGTTATAAGTGGGTAATGGAGAATGTCTGTAGCTGTGGGCAGACGAATTTTCCAAAATATCTCCCAAAGTCTTCAGCAAACTCCTCAGGCACTCCTAGTTCCTTTATGAGTCCCTGAAATAATCTGGTTCTGTAATAGAAATTTTGTCTGAGTTTCCAGCCATGACTTTCGCAGAGTCAGGAGAAGTTTATCTCACACAGCCTTTGTAGAAGTGGCCAACTCCAAAGTAAATTATGTATTTGAGATAAATAATAAAGATTTCAGCGCTGGATTTTGAATATGATTCAAGCCCTTTCAGATGAGCAAATTAGAGAATGGAACAAGTTCAAATCGATGTATTCATCATGGCTTTAATACTTTGGTGAGGAAAGGAATTAGCCATTAAACATCTATTTAAGTATTTTGTGTGCATGTGCATGATGGCCAAGTTATTAAGACTGTATAAAAACACAAAGAAAAAATACAATTCTTTATATGGTGAGAGGGATTAATCCATACTCTACATCAGTTTGGGGCCTATTATATATAGAAATGGAAGTGCTCTATTCAGCTTGGGTTGAGTTGCTCATAATTCTTTTAAGACACTAATTAAATGTCTTATATCCAGTAAGTAATAGAGCCTGCTGCCTCTGACAAATGGAGTTTTGGCCAAAAACCTATCGAGTTCTTTAAAAATATCTGAAGAATGGGAACACTACAATACATTGTATAGAAGCCTTAAATCTAGTTTCAGAGAGGAAAAAAAAAAGAAAAAGAAAATATTCTTTGATGAACTTATGAAAGGAAAGATCTATTGCAGGATGAAAGTCTGACCTTCTGTATTCTACTTTGCAGGATCTCTGATGTGGGTATCGTGGTTTAACCCCCCAGTTGAAACCAGATCAGTGGTGAAGGTAAATTTCCTTGCTTAGAACATTAATTCTGTTTTAAACAATATATTTAAGTAGAAGACCTACGACCCTTGCAAAACTTCAGAAATACTCCCTTTTTTTTTAAAAAATAAACTAGTTTCTAAGGAAGAGTTTGATTCCTCCTTTTCCTCAGGAGCCTCAGGATCAAATTATGATAGCCCATTGTGCAGAAACCCCTTCATGTGCAGGGTAAAATTGTGACTAATTGCACTCCAGTGGTGCTATTAACAATTTGGAAGGGAAAGTGTCAGGCATTCAGTCTCAAAATGTGAGCTGGAGTTCACAATCTGGAGAAATTGTCTTGTCTATTTAGACATGCATTTTTTATTGTTTCAGCCTCCAGTTAATTAACACTGCTTGTAGAACCTTTCTACTACCTGTTACATGTGGCACTTTTCAGAAGAAAAAAAAGATGATTTTTGCCTCAAGCTCTGACAGATTTGCAGGATAAAACAGGGCCTGTTGTGTATTAAGGGATGCCTCTTAAGCCACTAAATTTTGCACCATTTACTAGAGCTGCAGAGGTGAGAATCATTCCCAAAACTGTTGAGAGGAGAGTGCTTAAACCTTGTGTTCATTACAGCCATTATTCTCTTCTCCCTAGGTTTTTGGCTGAAAGGGGCAAAATATGACTTTTTAAGGTCACACAGGGAAGTACAAAGTTTGTCTCTTAAACCTAAAACAATAATCTGCAGCTCTGAAACCATTTATTTCTTTGGTTCCCATACCATTTATCAGAGCTGACGAGAGCAGTGGCTGTGGTAGGACCAAGAAAATGAATGTTGCATCCAGTGATGTCAACCAGGCAAAAAGAACCAAGGTAGAAGGAAAAGAAAGTCTTCAACTAACATGCAAGGTCAGCTGCCTCATGAATAACAACTTTTCTTTCCCCTTCCCCTCCCCTCTTCATTATGAGACATTTTTTGTTTGGTATTTTGAAGTTCTTCCAGCTTACAGTCATGTTGCCTTTGCACAAAGAAGCAAAGCATGTTTCCCAGAGGTACAGCATGATTCCTTTCACAATCTAAAGGAATGGGAATTTGAACAGTCCAAAACCATGCTCTGAACCGTGTTCTGGTATCCCTGGCATAATTGCTCATGAAGTCTAGGAGTAGGTGTGTAGGTGAATCAGATAGCAATGAATACAGCAGCAACAGGCAGCACCAGTAAAAAAAAGCAAATTAATTTTGGTTTATTTTTCAAGATTTTTCAATTTTAAATTTTTAGAGATTAAAGATTTGATTGAAGATTTCACAATTCCTACTTGCTTGTAGATGTAAAGAATAGCAAAATTAAAAAGAGGAAACACAAAATGGAATTTTTTATAGGAGCATACATGGGTCATCATGCATAGGTCAATGATTGTGAACCTGGTTTAGACAGAATTATTTTAGAGATTCTCAGGCAGTAGTAGTGAAATAAACCCCAAAAATTTGTGGGACTACTCTTGATGGTAGTCAGCATGTATTGAATTAAATTCAACTAAAACTGACTACTTTTCTGTGTAACACACCTGCTGCAGTTAAATCATGCTCTGAATATGTGATGATCATTTAAGTTATTAATGTCTGTGCTTTGTTCTGTTCAAAGAACTAAGTCAGGAAATGTTTGCATTTTGCTGTGGCTGTGACTCAGCTCAGAAGGGGTCAGGTGTACCTCGGGTTGTCTTCCTGAGCAAACACACAGGCAAACTTTTTCATCTCAAATTTCAATTACACCTCAGTCCTTCTCCTGCCCCTCCTTCTCCTTTAATGAGAAAAGAGGAATCAATGCACATTAATGCTTTTCCAGACCAAGTGATTTATTTCTGTATGTGGCTTGCTTACACTGGCTTGCCCATTGGAGGAATGGAATCATTGTTCCTCCAGGACTGCTTCAGCTTCTGTGCAGGGACTTGCAGCCTGTTGAGCTCTAAAACAAGAACAGATCTCTCTCTCTCTCTCCCTCCCTCTCTCCCTCCCTCCCTAATTGCCTTAATAGAAGATAAAAGGAATTGCTGGGTAATTCATGGTGGATCCCATTATTATAATGTCTCTGGGATTTCTTGAGTAATATAATAATTTGCAGTCTTCCAGATAGAAGTGCCACTTTTTTTGCTCTCACTTGTGCTAATTTTACAGCAGTATGACTTCTTTGAAGCCAAATGCATCCTATCTAGAGGGAAAAGACTTGAGAAATAAAGTTATTACTCCTCCCTGCCCCATTCTGGATAATCAACTATTTCTGTTCAGGAAGTGCTGTTACCCTACTGACCCTGGCTTCAAAAATAAGTCTCCAACCAGCATCTGTTGAATGAGAAAAAGACCCTAATTACACCTTTTTATACGCAAAACCTCAAAGTTAATTTGCATTACTTAAATGTTAATATTGTTAATAATAACCTTTTTTTCTTTTTCTTTTTCTTTTTCTTTGTTTTTCTTTTTTTTCCCCCCCTCAGGTTAAAAGGGAAAAAACTACAGTAACAGCACATTGCTGATCCTGAGGGAAAATCATGAACCCAGAGTAGTGTGGCAGAAGTTTCAGCAATCACTTTTCCAAATACGTGAATATTTTCTTTTCTTTTTTTTTCTCTACAAAGTGTGTTCAGAATTGTAGAATATTTAGTAGAAAATTTCTGATAAGCAGAGAAGTTGGGGTTGATGCTGGACCCCTTGGAATTTTTGTGGTTTTTTTTTTTTTCCACTTTCTGGCTTTCGTTTTGACATAAACATCCTGATACTGTTATTGCACAAACAAGTTTTTCTGCATTAAATATTTAAGCTACTGTCGAAGTCCACCCAGTCACAGTTTCTGAGTGTATTTTTGTAAGATGGAGCAACTTCATTCTTGGGATCTCTCGCTGGTCAGATTGACCCCGAGAAAAGTTAAGAAGTCTCTTTTCCCAGCCCAGTGCTTGAAGGAGTCAGAGCTCTTCAGTTCTCAGTCTCAAGGTTGTTTATTGTTCCTTATCTATAAATTTTTTTCTCCTGTCCAGCTGAGGTCCATTCAGCCATTCAGCAGGACGGTCCAGGCACTTTGCCTGCCCCCGGGGCGGTGTTATGTCTTTATACTAAAAACAACTAGGTATACAATGTTTACAATTACTTTCCAATACCTATCTTAGACAGTGAGCTTCTACTCTAAACCAATCCAAAAGTGCCAACATCACAGCAGAAGATGGAGGCCAAGAAGAAGAAGGAGAAAGGCAGGACACACCCAGATTCCTCCATCTTCACCCCTGAACTCCCATTCTAAAAGCCTCAAAATCTACTTTTTCACCCTGTGATAAATTCACTATCATTCTACTTAATTTGTGGTGACCTGCAGATCTTCATCTAAGGTTGCTAACTTGCTCCACGGGTCATAATCAAAACCACAGGGGCATCCTGGGCTCTGTGCCAGGGTCTCTGAGCCCCCTGGCAGGGGTCTTGGCTGCTCAGGACAGACAGAGGGATGGCCTGGGTTCCGACACTTCATCACCACTTAAGGACATTCTCACCTAGAGAAATAGTGCCTAAGCATTCTACTTCATCCTGGCAGAAAAATCACTCAAAGTGATAACAGTGACTTCTGGAAGGTTTTCCTGGGAGCCTTGAGCTGATGTGATTTGCACTTCAGTATGCACTATCATATTCCCCTACTTCAGAACCCTGGCACAGTGTGCACCAGTTGGAAGGGGCACATGCAAACTTCAGAAGTGGTTTTGTGTCCAAAGAGCAGAACCAGCCCCTGGCTGGCAATCCCTGAGCTGGCAGGGCAGCCCTCAGATATCACTCAGGCTATTATTTGCTGCAAGATAAGATTTTGTGCACTGGTCTTGTCTTACAGCTTCGTTGTCAGCTTGGCCACACCTGAAAATCATATCTGCTGACTTCTTGGGGCATGGTAAAATGCTAAAGGAAGATCAAGCTGTGCTTGGACCCTGCCTTTCCCCCACTACAGGCGCTTTGCCTTTGCAATTTCCACCTGTGAAGTGGCTTTCTCTTATGTACCCCTTATTCCTCACCTGGCTCCTGTCCAGACTCTTCTGTTTGCTTGCTTCTCAACTTCATTCCTTGCAGCCATCAGAACTGCCTGCTTGCATGGCAGGCTGCCAAGGAATTTGTAGTAGGATTCTGGTATATTTGCTCTCACTTATTGATGCTCTCAACAAGGTGTTTGTAGCACAATCCCCTTCTCACCGTGGCTCTCTTCAAGAGAAATACTCATAACTTTGCATTTCCTTAGCTGTAGCTCACAAACAAGTCAATAAAAGCCCCTTCATTGCTTGCATTCAATCTATTAGCAAGGAAATACCTGAGAAAATGGATATGTGACCTTTGCCTTCCTCCCTCAAATGCTGTGGACGTGAGCCTTGTTTGTCATGGAGAGTATGAGGGGCTATATATTAAAAGACAGCCACAATGGCCCAAAAAAAATTTAAAATATTGTACTTAAAAAGTTATAAATTGTATGAGTAGTTTTACTTTTATCAGTAGTTTTATAATTGATGAGTAGTTTAATTGTGAATCTCTGCCTTTCATCTGCTTTTACCTGCCACTAGGAAACTCTTTAGAACTTTGAACAAAACTCCTCTGAACAATTTTATATGCAGGTAATGTTCTAAAATCTGTCTGAAAAAGAAATATCATGTCCAATTCTGCCCAGTTGCTTTTCCATAAAGCACTAATGCCTCAGGCCTGGTATGGACCTCACTGTGTAAAGCCAATCAGTTTGCTGATGATTTATGGTAGGAAAATAACAGCTTCAATTAATCCAAACAATGTCTCTGTGGAACATGGTTCCAACAAATTTTACAGTTTGTGGGTATTTTTAATAAATATAAGAAACTATGGTATGATTAACTGCCTATTTAATAAATATAAGAAACTCTTAATATGATTAACTCCCTTTGTAAGGGTCTAATACTTGGTTACAAACACATTTTTTTTCCTTAACCTTAGTCCAAAATTACAAAAAAAAAGCAGCAAAAATCTATGCTGATATGAGTATTAAGCAAACAGCTGTTTGAAACTCTACATGCTATTTGGGTAATTGTGGGATGGGGAAGATCTGTTCTACACTTTAAACTTTTCTCTTAATGGCAAACTTTTCAATGTTAATAATAATTTTCCTGTTACTTGGAAGGCTAGATATAAGAAAATGTGTTCACACAGCATGGAGCAAGATACTTAATTTCCTAATAAGAGGTATTGCCTTTTTTAAAATTTCTGAAATACTGGAAAGCAAATAATCATTTTTAGAGTTGAAGGGTTAGTGCAATTTCTAGGAGAGAGCTTTTTAGTGAGGATGAGGAGGGGACTCAGATGTTAGCATAGCTGTTGGCTTTGCACATCTCATAGCTTGTATGCTTGTAGTGCACACGTAACCACACAGCTTTGAAAGTCTTGTGATGATCAGTAAAATGACTTACTCCTGAACCAAATGTGTCCAATTAGAGAAACAGTAAGTTTGGAAGCTAAATTTGGAAATTGTTTTAAATCATGGTGATTTGTTATTAGCATGTCCTGCAAATGCTGTCTGTGCATGCATTTCAATGGGCATGGACGTTTTGTTAATCAGAAATTGCACAGTTTAAAATTTAGTGGTTTATGAGAGGACAGATTGTTCTGTGAACTGCTTGTGAATGAAAAAAAATACTACAGCAGAAATACTGTTTGACTAGAACTGTGTAAACAGTTGGGATGAATAATTCATGCAACCAATTTATTTTATTTTACCCTTAATGCGTTATCTATGAACAGCAGAAGACTGTCTTGATTTTGAACACTTTGAAAAATCATTTAATAAGGAATTTTGCTGATAAATTCTTAGCTTCCAGCGGATTTATTAAGAACACAGGTTAATACTCTTTACTAAGAGTATTAATTATGTCTATTATTTTTTTAATATTAGATTTCGTTGCAAACAAAATTTCCCCTTTTGGCCATTTTTTTTTCTATTCAAAACAAATTATTGGGCCTTAAGTGAAACCCTTGAATGTTGTAAGCTCAAAATTAACTTCCATCATGCATTCTCCAGTATTTACTTGCCTTGAAATATTTTTACTTGCTAACTTGTTGGGGTGGGGGGAGGAAGGCACCTATAGGAAGTGAATTAATATTTCACCGAGTCAGGCTAACCCATTTGTTGGTCTCTTATAGCATTAGAAATCTTGAATCCTAGTATTCAAGTATTTCTAGGGAAGTATTCCAGGTATTCCAGGTGTTCTCAGCTTCCCAACTGATGTACATACAAGTGTAGCAGCCTGGATATATTGGAACTGGTGGGTACTTTTTTTATGAAATGTGATATTCTCACCTGCCAGTGTTCTTCAGTTAAAGATCATTAAAAATCTGGATCTTTGAGGTACCTTGTTTTTCAGGGCTTTTTAATGCTGTTTTGCAACACTGCCTCAAAGAAGAAATTTACTTGAAAAATTTTTTCTTCTATCAACCCTTTCTTTAAAGATGTGAAGTACTTGACAGAGATTAGTGTTGAGGGAGACAATTTGGTTAAGGAAAATGACATAAATGAGGTATTCCTGCTGCTGCCACTTTGTCAGTACTCAGAACTGCCAAGTACGGATGTGGTGCTGTCTCTGTAATACCTCCTGTAGTGCTCCACAGCCCTGTTGTGAGGAATTCAAATAAACTGTTTCTGAAGAGTGCTTTTTACAGAAATTTAAAGCAAAGCTTATCATCACCCCTTTTTCCATTTGCTAGCAAATCCTGATGAACCATTTGCTAGAAGCAATATCACTAAGCTGCCTGTCCAAATAAAGACAGTACGAGGTCAGTGGCTAATTCTTTGCTGGTGTTCTCCACATCATTGGCCCTGTATTTCACAGGCAGAAAGACATTTTTAATTCTGGAAGTGATGTCCAACTTGGCACTTTGGAGAAGGATACCAGTTTCCTGTACAGTGAAACATAAATGTGTGTGTGTAGACAACATATCATCAATATATTCTTCAGCTTTTTGCCTGGGGAAGTTGTATTTTTTGCTGACTGAAGAGCTTCCAGATGAGCTCAATACTTTTTCTTCATTATAAAATTAAATTTCTTAAGTCAGAGATGTAGATATGGCCACAGCTCTGCCTGTCCTAACTGGGATTGCTGCACTACTTTCACTCTCTCTTTTCCCTCTCTCTCTCTGTCACCTTCCTAACAATGTGCACTGCATCCTGGGTGGCCATTTGTGTTCAATAATGTATTCAGTCTATTCACTGTGTCTTATTAAATTTTAAAGCCACTCTGTTGTAAAGTATTTTATGTGTGTGTAGCTTTGGTCTGCTGTCAGTCCACAAGTAGAAGGAAACAATCAAATCTTATCCTGCAGTTCTTGTTCATGCTGTATAATAGCACTGGTGAGCAGCAAGCCAATTGGATGCATTTGTTTCAGATAAGTGATAAATGAAAGATCTGCTTAGATGAAGCAAACCAAGTTTTTTTCAGTGGAATTCAGGTAACAATTTCCCTTCTTTGTTCCTCTCTTTAAGTTTATGTAAAAATGAAATCAAACAAGCCTCCTTCCAAAACACAGAACTTCATTTATAAAGATTTGGAATCAGCAAGAAATAGATCCATTTCCTTTGTCATCCTGACCATTGTCATACACTTGTAATAGTAGCAGAAATTAAGGCAAATATATTCTTATTACCTTGACTATTGGTGAATGCTGAATCACACCACAAAAGAGTTGGGTGACAAAACACACCTCACCCAAGAAATCAAAAATTATATGAGGAAATTAATATTTTAACAGTTTAATAGTCCAAACCATTGGTCCAATAATAGTTATGCATTATTTGATATAATAGGCCAAATTAATAAAGGCATTGATGATATTAATAATAATTTA